TAGGCATAGTAGCCGTTGACCGTTGTATTATCCGTAGGTCCTGCACTCTCCCGGTTAATCACCAGGCCCAGCGCTACCTTGCGGAAATCTTCCATATAGTCATGACCAAGCGGCCCATCTATAGAGATGCTCATATTTGTGGGAGCGCCATCAATACCAGCCCATTGGTTCCGGTAAGCAGCATTCACCGAAAGCACATTGCGGCTACCTGCATAACCGGCATTGTACTGAAGTTTATTGTACATAAACATGCTGTAATGCTGGTAGTCCTGGCCAAATCCGGCTACAGGCAGTAGCAAGGCAATAGCTGCGAGTAATCGTTTCATAACAGTAGAATATTTTTTAGAGAATTACTTTTTTAAGTAGAAGAATTAAAGAGATCAGCGCTTGATCACCAGGTAGCCGGTATAAGTGTCTTTGCCGGTGGTACGGTTAATACCATTAAGCTTTATCAGGTAGTAATAAGTGCCGGAAGGAAGGTTGCCACCGTCCCAGTCGTTCTGGTAGCCACGGCGTTCATATACCTTATCACCCAGCTTGTTGAACACCTGTACCATAATGTCAGGGTAGTAGTGAATGTTCTTCAGCATCCACACATCATTTTTGCCATCACCATTCGGCGTGATCACATTGTAAACTGTGAGATCATAATCACATTCCGCTTGCTCGATGATCACCTGGATAGAATCTTTCAGCGAAGCGCAGGTCTTGTAATTACTGTTTACATACCAGTAAGTAGTGCCGCTGATATTGGTAGGCGGCGTAGGCGCCCCTGTTATTTTGGAGCCCGATGGATCGAACCATTGTAAGGTGGAAATGCTATCCGGCGAAGTGGCTATAAGCAGCTTGCTATCTGCATTGCGGCAGAAAGTGACTGGTGAAACCACCGTAGGCATATAGGGATAGCTACCACTGTCTACCACCTCAAAAGCAAGGTCGGTAACACAAGGCAACCCTTCTGATACCAGCGACACCTTATAGCTGCCTGCAGCCAGGCTGTCTTCAATCACACCGGTGGTATCACCGGTATATGTTTTTATAGTATTGCCGTTTTGCTGCACGGTAAATGAATACGGGCGGCGGCCACCCTGCAGCTCAAACTTTACCGCGGCCTTACCCACACAATTGGTAGCAGACAAGGTACTGGCCGTAATGCTACCGGCATCTCCCACAATAACCGTGTACTTCACCAGGCTGGTATTGGGCAGCGGACAACTGCGCGTAACGAAACGTGTGTAGAAAGTATAAGCG